CAAAACAAACCCAGACCCACGAAACAAGAAGTGCAAAATGCTCGCCTACAGGCTCAGCAAGACGTGGAAGAATCAGAAGCGATGGAGTAAGGAGGCCCATGTGTGAGGGAACGATCATGTGACTTTCATACTTTATGAAATGTCTCACTTTGATTCATGTAAATAGCGAAAGTCAGAGTCTTCCTTAGGAACCTCCTTCTCTCTTCGTAGACAATCACTTTACCCAAGTCGCACCCGACCTTGTTCGTGCACTTGTACCGTCACATTTACATGGCAAACCTGCTTTATCGGAGCCTATACCTGGGAGGCAATAACGCATTCTCTAACGACCAAATTGTAGTCACTGTTTTGCCGCTCTAACTGTACTGCAACGAGGCCCATTTAAAGGTATCACGCGGTTGGAACAATCTAGTCTTGGTGTCCCAAATGCTGCATCTGCTCCACGCAGCATCAAAGGACCCTGGAGTGGCTTGCTCGGGCAGCCAACTGACAAGGGGTAAGCAACAGTCACAAGCCATCGTCCCTTGACCCATTTGATTTTGTACAACCTTCAATTCCGGCAGGCTTATCCGTGAATCGACAAGAGTGTCCAGCTATTGTTCCTCTGGCTCGACGTCCACAAGTTAGCTGAGAAAGGGGCAAGAATGCTAAACCGATGATATGTGCAAATAGTTAAAGAACCCCATGAGCCCCCTTTATATCTTGCCTCGGTCCTTGCTGCGATGCACTTCTTCCCCCGAACACCCTCCCGGTTCATCCAGTCCCTTCTGTCGTTCTATTTATCGACAAAAAGGATTCATCAACAGACGGTGACACCGCTGCCCTGATTCTTGAGCTGCAGGTACAGGATTTGGCAAGCTTGATCAAGGAGAAGCATGGCGAAGGAAGCGCACCAGACGCCGAGCTTGGCGCCGAGCTTCACAAAGCTGAGCTAGAAGCTACGTCCTGCCTTATGCGCGATCGAGCGATAAGTCGAAGTCTTGCCCGCGCTGTCTTTTTAGATGGCGATATCCTCGCAGCTAATGCCAATGTGGAATAGCAAGCGCAGCACGATTGAGAGCAGACATTATCATGGGACACTCTAAGAGAGACTCGATCTAGCTGCGAGCCTATGGCGATGATTTATTATTAGCTTATGTGCCTGTATATGGATAAAGACGTATGTTCCAAAGCTAGCGAATCTTCTTATCAAGCCGCAAAGCGCACAGCCCTTGTCTATCGATCGCGTCGTTGCGAAACTTACCACATAGATGTTCCTTTCTTCGACGTTATCCGATGTCCCTACTTATACGAGTATTGCCGAGACTACATTGCAGATAATTTCGGCTTATTTGGGCGATGAATCTTTGTTTCCTCCACAGCACCAACCGATTCCCCTAGGTCCGAACCAGATCTTTCTACTTCCGAAACTAAAAGGCGAACATCGGGGGAAGGCGATTGAATACAAGACGCCTCTTAGGAGATGTTGTCATAAACAACGTCCTCGATATTCGTGCCACTTGCATCCATCCACAACGACGTTGCGACTTTCGTTCAGTGCAAAAGCGAGACTAACACCATCTTTCAAGGTCATCTCCTCAACCGGAATGGCCCAGGGATAAGGCTAAACTGGAGACTCATGGTCAACGGCATCTACGGACAGAACAGTATGAGTGAGGTGCGAATGTCCTGGGGAAAACGGTGAGTGAATTTTGGCCAAGGGATTCAGAAAACCAAACACATCATCATACTTCGGCCTTTCTCAGTCGATCCAGCATCCCGTGGGCCCAGGTCAACCGGTGATGACCGACCGGGAAGCAGTGAGCTCGGTCAGTGTCGAGGCGCTCCAGGACTGGGCCGGGGAATCGTCGAGGCATATCATAGTGCAGCGTGTCCTCCATAAAGAGCAGATACAGCGCTAAGAGGACCGGAAAAGTATTGTTTCGCCTCGCTAAGCTTCTTAGGCCAGCATGTAAGCTAGGAACCTTGCCCATCAATGCGATACCACTTGAGCGACCTCGTTATGTGGTCCGATTCTGCTTTGAGCCACTTGGCCAGCGACTTGGATCACTGATGGTCATGCCCCATTGGTGGTAGACTGTAACCAGAAATCCTCGGGGAGTGTGTTGAAATGGCCTCGTAGCAAAAGGTGCCAGGACATGTAGCAACCAAGGAAGCTTTCCATTCGGTACTGATATAGTCCAAAAAGGGCTGATAGGGGGTGGACGGTAGTTTGCCGGGGTGCATTTCGTCGGAGAAATCGGGCTTTGCGAGCATTATATATACGTGCGAGGATGGCAAGAATAGCCTTCATCCTGTTAGAGGGCCTTCACTTGGGCGTTGCATATGAAGTATCAGCTGTGTTATTGCGTAGCGTGCTCCTTCTCTTGCACGTGTCAGGAAAGGTTCTCCTTCTGGAACGATGGGCACGAGATGAGCGCAGGATTCTTGGTTCGAGTCCTCTGTGTGATCTGCCCTTTTTTATAGAGATAATCTCGTAATAACACAGTGACCCTTTATGACTATAGAAGATAGTAGCGGCTGCCCGAGGGCAACTGCGAAAATGGGAAGGGTGCGACTTTTGCTAAGGATTACTATTACCACTATAACTCAACCTCCTCTCGGAAACACCCCCTATCTATAACGTAGCTCAGTACATGTCCACCTGATATCTGATGTTCCAGTTGCAAAGGCTGCGTTCTTGAGGCAGTCTGGTGACCGGCTTCGCAGCACATGTTGCAATAATCACCACGGTCGCCTAGACTCCTGTTTCAAACTTTGGAGAGTTGTGGAGAAAGAAGTCGACACTCTTCAAGTTTGTCCATGGCACCGTAGAAACGAGTTAAGGTTGATTGGTGCGGGAGGGAGCAGGCAAAAAGAAGACTCTTTTCGGTAAGTGGGATGGAGGAAGGCCCAGGCTAACTATATGCGATTCTTGACCATTCTGCCCGCGAGTCAGGCGAGTGAAGCACTCCATGCCCAGGCTAATTCTTGTACAGGTTGACCCGGCTCACATATACAACCTGCTAGGATACCATGGATTTCAGGTTGGAGCGCAAAAAGTCGACGGCATTAACTCGCAGCCACCGCCCGGCAAGGGCCGTCAAGGGGGAGGGGGTTTTGACTGGCAACGAAGTCCATCGAGGCGTTCATGGACATTGTCAACGAGATGTTTCAGGGCCAAGAGCAACGGCTGAGCGGGGTCTACGTGACGCCCAGCAGCCACGGGGAGGCCTGGAATCTCCCCGACTGGTTCCGAAGTGAGGAGCCGACGGGCCCGTTTTTCGGTCAAAAAGCGGAAGCCCGACGCACATGCGCTGCTGGTGGGAAACATGGCATCGGATTGCGCAGGATGTATACCAGAGAGAAGTGCTTGTCCCTCGTGCCGGCGACCGACGACGCGAATGGCGCCTGAATGTCGCTGGTTGCGATTGATGACTGTCCAAGGGTCTTTGCCCCCTTGTTGGCTCTGTCGCCGGGCCTGTGTGTGTGTGTGTGTGAGATAGAGAGAGAGAGAGAGAGAGAGAGAGAGAGAGAGAGAGAGAGAGAGAGAGCACAATTTGTCCAGTGGATATGCCGTGATGCAGTGGGTACGACGTGAGAGAGGAAGCGCTTCTGGCTCCGACCATAATTACACGGCGGTGCTTGACTGAGTGTGCAGATCATCTGCGCCGCTGCGGCATGGGTTTTGGTGTTTACGACTTTGCCTCGTACGGATCAATGATTGACGAGCACATGCCCGGAATACCCACGTCACTTTATACAGTAACCCTCAGGCTCTCTCGGCGGCGGTGAGTTTTCTCGGGCCCGTCCCATGCAGGGCAAAACATGACGTTGACCGGCGTCGACGAATGAAAATAGGGATTTAAAGTGCAGCGGATATAATATACAGTACATGAGAATTAAACAAGGAGCAGTCTACTAACAACTGTAGAGGTCAAGGTAGGTAATTGATTATCGGCTAGTCCCAGCTCGACGACAACGACACGTCAGAAAGCCCACATGTACGGCGCAACATCATCTTTGCTGGTCATGCAAGCCGTTGCGCATCAGGCTTCATCCAGTGACCAAGCCGTGTCCAGCGCCACCGTGCCTCTCCCCTTTTTGTGTGCAAACAGCAGTAGGTACCTACTAACTTTCCATACTCGTTGTAAAAAATGTATCCGTAGCATACCAAGTAGATGCCCAAGTACCCACCTACCTAGGTACCTAGGTACCTACCCGTAAAGTACAGCACCCAAGGTACCTACCTACCTAGTCGACGATAAATGATAAGGTGGTAACAGGCATGAGCTGAGTGAGTGGGTGGGACAACAAGCCCACGCGCGCCTACATTAGTCGTCACCGCGTAAAGTGCCGCGACGCAGCGCCCGCCCGCCAAGTTTTTCTTTCCATTTTCCTCCTCTTCTTCGCAGTCCCGGTTCGTTGACTTTCTTCTTCTTTGAGCCTCTTTCCCCTTGCCCCCCCCGTTCCTTTTCTCGTCTCGTTCGAATCGCCATCATCCGACCAGAGAGAGGTAAACATGCACGCATAAAGTAGCCGTCACGTACTCTATCCCCTACAACACCAACCGTCGGTACCCGCCCGGTACTTGGCCCCCCGCTGAAAGGTCGCCAGGGCTGGCTGCTTAAATTGCCGTGCCCCGGAAGCCTGCTGATTAAGCCTCGCCCTCGCCCGTCCGCCCAACTCGAGCGTTTGATTACCATCTGAACACCTCGTCTCTCTCCCTTGACCTCACCCTGATCCTCAGCTCCCCCAAATTCCCCAGCCTCTTCTCGCCGCAGGCCTCGAGCCGCCCATCTTCGAAAAGTTTCGTCCCTCTCTCGCCTCGCCGAACCTCGTGCCCCTCCTCCTCTCCTCGCCCACTCAGCCGCCCGCCCGCTCCGCCACCCCCTTCCTCTTCTTCTTCCTTCTCCGCCTCCTCTCCTCTCTCTCCTCGTCCCGCACTGATCGATGATGCTCGCTCAGTCGGTCGCTGCGGGTCCAACTTGATCGCCATTACGAGACGAGGCACTGTCATCATGGGCGAGCCCGCCGGTCACGCGTACGAGTGCCACCCTCTGGCTCTCCTCTCCATCGCCAGAGACGCTCCGCCGCGAGAGGCAGCCTACCGGGCCGACCAGCCCGCTGCCAGCGCCCAAGACGACTTCACGTCCCTCATGGCCGCCTCCATGATGGAGATGCCCGCCCTCCTCAACACCGCATCGAGCCCCGTTTCGCCGGGCCAGTCGAGTCCCCAGCAGGCAAAGCCGTCCCTCTTTGTCCCCCCAGCCCGCCCGAGCAGCACTCCCTTCCCCCATCCCGAGAATCGAAATCCCCACGTCTGCTGCCTGGGTGAATCCGACTTCGACTCCGACGCCGCCGCCGATGATGCCTCGCTTTCGCTCCCCGCCGATGACTCCGTCTCGGGGCTCTCCCAAGCCATCCAGTTCGAGGAGCTGCCCCTCGAGGTGCACGAAGCCATTGTTGACCATCTGTTTGGCTTCTGCATCTCCCCGACCTCCAGCAGCGCGATGAGAATCTCCAGCCTGACAAGGAGCTGGGGCAGCGCCCTCCGCCATTCGCGCCGCCGCGAGCTCGCCAACCTGGCCCTCGTCAACAGCCGCTGGACCTTTTTGATCCAGCAGAGACTCTACCGCCACATCAAGCTCAAGGCAACCGTCGAGTCCGTCGAGGACGCCGTCATGCACTTGGCTTGTCGCCAGCACCTCGCCCGTCATGTCAAGCACGTCGAGGTCTGGTTCCCCGTCTTCCAGCCCATGTACGGCCCCCTCGCCACCTCAAACTCGCTGGCTCTGCCAACCGTCACCACCAGCGGCCTGACCAACGCCACCTACATCTTGCCTGAGAACAACTGCACCCTGGACGAGGTCTTTCGCTTCGTCAGCCTGGTTTTGCCAGAGGCCCAGGTCCTGACCCTCGAGGGCGGCGAGCGACGAAAGGCCCCCAAGGTGCTTCATTCCAATGAGCGTGACCAGGGCCCCGCTGCCACCGGGCCGTCACTCTGCCCCATAGACTCTGTCCGCACCTTGGTTACCAGGGGCCAGTGGAACTTGATGCGGGACCACCAAGACTTTGCTAACGTCTTGCGGGCTCTCCCTAACCTCGAGGAGTGGCAGGGATCCTACAGCAAGCCAAAGTCCAAGAGCTATATTACACTGTCTGAGTACATCCCCTGCCTGCCGGCACACGTCACGAGGCTCGGCATGTGCATGGAAAACGACTACCGTCGAGAGGCCGGTACCCCGCCCTTCTACTACAAGGTGGCCACGAGAACACACATCTGTGCCAGCTTGGGCCAGGTCCTGCCGCGCCTTGAGCACTTTTCCTTTACCGGCCGCGTATGTCACAAGCTTTTCGACCTGGCCTCGCGCCAGAGCGACCCGCTCAACTCGAGACTCAAGTCCATCGACCTGACGGTCAAGAACTGCTGCCCCACGCCGGACAGCAACAGCAACTACCCCGGCTCTGGCTCGGGCATCCACGAAATGGGCTTCATCGAGGCGTTTGAGAAGCTGGTGGTGGCCGCGATTCGGTTTCTGGAGAAGCACAAGGGTCTGCAGTATCTCAGGATTCGCTTCGTAGATCTGGGTATGCCCCCTCGGCTGATCACATGTGTTGCGCGAACTGATTGCTGACGTGGCCCCAGATTCCCTTTTGCCGCCCCTGAACCCGTACTTTCTGCTCCGGCAGCAAAGATGCACCGGAGTCTGGAGCGACCTCATCGTGACGGAAATGGCCCGGGTGCGGCCCGACGTGTCATTCGCGGAGCTAAGTGACAGCTTCGGCAACATCATGTACAGCAAAGAAGGCAGGATGGTCGTTTCGCCCGAGAATCCACGGACGCGCATCTCGTCGCTGAAACTGAGCAACTACCAAGCGCTTGCTAACCGAATGACGATTCAGTAGATGGGGCCAACCGACTGGGGGCGCAGACGGCGACGGGCGAAGCTTGGAAAAACAGACTGAAGACGATCAGGATCGGATATTCAACTGCGGTGGTGCCCGGCACCAGATTGGGACGGGAGCGAAAAAATTAAAGGAGCGGGTGGCGTTTATTGTGATCCCCGGCTATTCTGTTACTCCTCGAACCCCATCACGACACTGTGGGCAGGGGGGAGGACAGCATCGGGGCATGTGAAGGCGGGCGTTCGGGACGCATGGATATAGGCAAGGCCCGGGGTGCGGTGCTTTTGCCAACAATCTGCCCAGGGGTTGATTTTGCCCCGTGTCTGGAATCGTTTACTTTGAACCGACTTTTTTGGGGGACTAGCACGGCGAGACAGATACCCCTCTAATTCAAGTTTGCTGCTGAAGATGGCTCCGAAAGGTGTAGAGTGGATAAATGTCGCATGTTGATGAGACTCGGGGGTCGAGACGTTGAGCCGACAGGGCATATTGACAAAGATGAAGATTCATGGGGCCAGTGCCAATGCATCAAGATTGCTCGCTACTCTACGTGGCCTTTGGCAGTATTCTTCTCAGGCCCCCTACCAGCCCCGTCGCAGATGATGATGCCCAAGATCCAGCAATTGACGAAGAAGAAGGCGAGAGAGGCCAGCCAAAGGCCCGGGAAGAAGGTGCTTTCGCCAAGAAACTCGAGCCGATAACCCTGATGAAGCCAAGCGGCCTGGCCGGCGACCCAGAGGGCGAGGGCGGCGATGCCGAGTGCCGGCCTGCGCAGGAGGGACGAGCCTGGGAGGTAGAGAGGCAGGAAGACCATGTACCAAAGAAAGTACTGCCGAGAAGGTGAGAAGATGGCGGACAAGAAGCACGGCATGGAGACGAGGCGAGGCAAAGCGGGAAGCGGATGATTCAGCGACCGGGGCTTACCTGCGAGGTGCAGACCTTGTTGAAGGTGACAAAGGCAAACGTCTGGGCCATCATGGAGGTGGCGAGGTCCTTTTTGGCGAGGGCCAGGGGGATGAGGACGCAGGAGAGGAGCATCTGGGGGACGAAGGCGAGGGACTCGATGCGCGGCAACGGCGAGGACGAAGGCGTGGCCGAGGTGAGATAGAGGAGGACGTTGTAGGGGGAGAAGTTGTGGCGGTGGTCGCTGCGGGTGACGTGGTGCAGATACGTGTGGAGGAGAAAGGGGGTTCCATATCTGGCGGGAGACACGAGGGTTTGGCAACGTTTCGGTTAGGTCAGGGAATCCAAGCCAAGGTCAAGTAAAGGGTCATGGAGAGGGGGAGACGGAGATGGACGAACATGGAGTACATGAGCAGGTTGAGGCTCATAAAGGTCGCGAAGCTGACTGCCGCGAGACGGATCCTGGCGGGCGAGCAAAATCTGACGAGGGCGGTGGCGGGCGATTGCGGCGCCGTTGCGGGCCTGGAGGGGGAGGAGGAAGGCATGCGCTCGTCGTCCATCCACCAGACAATGGCGGGCGCGTAGATCAAGGGGTAGATTTTAAAGTGGACGGCGAGGCCGAGGACGAAGCCGGCCAGGTCGACGCGCCTCGTCTCGACGGCCCACAGCAGGGCCATGGTCAGAACGCCGAGCAGGCCCTCTGAGCTGCCACGGGTGCTGATGGTGGCCACCATTGGATTCCAGAGCCAGAGTGCGGCAAAGGCGGCGTCATCGTCGTGGGTTTGCGAGTCCCCCGGTCGTCTTTGCCTCCGCCGCCGCAACAGGGCGAGGATAAGGGCGCCGGCGGCAAGATCGGCAGCAGCAAAGACGACCTTGCCAAAGGCGAAGAAGCCAGGGATGGTGGTGGGGGCGAGCAGCCATGCGAGCAGCGGGGTGTAGCGGTACGTGTCGCGGGCGTAGGGGCTCGCCGAGGAGGAGGGGGAGGTCGGTCCTCCGCTACCGCGGACGACGAAGCGGGCGGCGTCGGTGAAGACGAGGTAGTCGACGTCGGTGTACTTGACGGCCGAGTGGGCGTCTTGCCAGGAGCCGTAGACGAGGAGGCCGAGGCGGAGGAGGGCGGCGACGAGGAATAGGGGCGTGGGGCGCAGGAGAGGGCGGAGAAGGGACATGGTTCCTCCTCCTTGCCTCGCCTGGGCTGCTGCTGGCTGTGGTTGATGACGGATTGACGGTGATGATGGCAGACCCGGCGACGGTTTGATGCGATGGAGTCGGGACGATCGTGGTGCTAGCAGAAGAGAGCGCGGCGTTTCATTGCCCCCGTGCAGGCGTGGGAGCTGATGAGAAATGCTGCCTTCTCTCTTCCCCTTGTCCTCTCGGCGCGTGTCGCAGTGAGCTGGTCTTGTCGCCCCTGTCTCTCCTCGAGATGAGGTAAGTTAATGTCGCGAGGACAGCTTGGGTCGAATGCCGGCTTATCGATAAGCTGCATCACGTCGAGTCTGTACAGTACCCACGTCACTTTTCCTGCTTCAATTCGCACAGTGGCTTTCACTTCTCATCGTCCGACTCCAGCCCATTTATTCATCACCACGGCCCCAGCCAGACGAGAGCCTCCTGTTTCTACCCAGCTTCACTCACTGTCCCTGCCACTGGCTCTCACACACGGCCAGCAAAAGCAGCAGACATGTCGAGCGGCGGCGGCGGCGGCGGCGGCGTCAAGCGAGACTCGGACGGCAAGGCCCGCGCGCCCAATGCCCCCTCCGGCAGATTCCACGACATGTTTGCCCACTTTCGCGACGAGCTGGACGAGCATCACGACCGGCGCGAGAGGATAGTCAAGGCCAGCAGGGACGTGACGGCGCAGAGCAAGAAGATGTGAGCCTCATCGTGCTTCACTCTTCGAGGGCAATGCAGGCAGACGCCCTCGAGGACGATGAAGAAGAAATCAACCACGGCTGCCCATGGCTAACATGAGGGCGTTTGTTCTGTTAGCATCTTTACATTGCAAAGGTAAATCCACACACCTCTCAAGCTCTGGCCACCCCGTGAGCTCAAGAGGGTGTGAGAGCAAGAACTAGACTCATCAAGGTCCAGAGTCAAGACGCTCAACCAAGACTTCTCGTCGAGCACGGAAAAAGACGTGTCGTCACGCATGGCCGAAATCACAAAGCTGCTCCAGTCCGTCGCCCCCGACCTGCAGTCCGTAAACCGCCACCGCTACGCCTGGCCGCTGCGCTGCCTCGAGGAGCTCGTCGAGGCCCTCTCCATGGCCCACTACCTGCGCCATCAGCGCCTCATCACCCCCTCCGAGGCCCAGGCCGCCGTGCCCGCCGACATTGCCCTCACGCCGCACGACTACATGTACGGCATCTTCGACCTGTTTGGCGAGCTCATGCGATTCGCCACGGTCCAGCGCGCCGCCGTGCTGCCCCGCGCTTCGGCCGTCGCCGCGGCGGCCGCAGGGGGGGGATCCGACGACGCCAAGAGGCCCATCCTGCGTGACATGCAGGAGCTGGGCTGCGCCTTTGAGATGCTGCCCCACGTGCCCTCCAAGGAGTACCGGAGCAAGATGGAGGTGATGAGACAGAGCGTGCGCAAGGTCGAGGCTCTGGGCTACGGGCTCGTCGTCAGAGGCAGCGAGCGGCCCCAGGGATGGGTGCCGGACATGAAGGACGAGGCGCCGGGTCGGGTGTCTCCTGTCTGAGATGTGGGAGGCCGAGTCAATGTTGTACGCGTGATGGCCAGCATGACGGGCAGTCTTGAGGATTCATAAAAGGGCTGTTGACGTATTTTGGCTGATATTCGTTTGCGGGAATGGAGGACGAAAGATGCGCTCGTGTTCGGCCGACAGACGGCCTTGGTGCAGGCGTGTGCAAGAAACAATATCTGATTTTTACAGACCACCCGAGCAAGGTCCCAATCAACTCTGACACCCCCAACTCATCAAGTCTTGCGCACAGTAGGTAACCGTGTCTGTTGCTGTGGCGAAACCGCAGAGACGAGAGCGGGGGGGTTGACTGTTGACAGCTGGCAACCGGCCTCTTAAAAACGAAACAGAGCAACGCGTCACGGCTGTTTGATTTTGGCCTATCAAGTTCCTCAACCTCGTTTCTGTTTTCTCGCTCTCGTTTTCTTCAACAGCCATTTCACGCTCTTTCCTCGGGCGACACCAGCCTACGAGGTAAGGTTATTCCCCCGTCTCTGGATGTCGGGTTGACGTTCTTCAAGAATTTATTAACTTGTTTGTCTCAAATAGGCACGAGTTGCCCGACTCGTTTGCACGACGCAACTGTCGGTGACTTTCGAAGCTCGCACACGTATGTTGTTTCTCTGTAACTGGCTCGCCCTCTCTCCCATTCTCCCCTTCCTCCGCCTCATCCAGTCTGACCTCCTTGTCTCTATTTACAGTTGCAACAACGCGCACAAGTCACAACCGCCAAGTTGCTGGACACGATGCCCTCATCCAACGATGGCCGCGAGCCCACCAGTTCGCCGCCAGGTGGCAGCAACGATCATGACGCAGAGAACTCGCAAAACCCGCCGTCCAATCAGGGTCAGCAAGTGGCTCCTGCTGGCGCGATACCCGTCTCAATGCTGCTTGAGCAACCGCTCGAAGGCGCCTTTAGTACACGAACGACATTCTTTGTCGAAGCCGACTGGCCTGGGGGCTCAGACAGGAAAGCCGGGAAGCGCACCGTTGGCCGGATGTATGTCGAGTGCCTCGACCCGCTTCTGGTTGTGCACGGGTCGCCCATCATTCTCGTCCACGGAGACTGGCATACTGGCCAGGTACGCTCGTGAAGGGCCCTCTCCTACTGCAGGTTGCCTGGCATTCACTGACGGGCCGATACCCTGACTCTCCCAGATCTGGACCACCAAGCCCGACGGCAAACCGGGCTGGGCCTCGTACTTCAACTACCAAGGCTACCGCGTTTACGTGGTTGATCTTCCGCCTTGCGGACGGTCCAATTTGTTGAGCGACGGCCAGTTCCAGCAGGCGTGTGAGGGATCCATGATTGACGCGAGCCTCATTGAACGAGACGTGACTGCGCCCGGCAAGCAGGACGAGAAAGGCTGGGACACGGCTGGGCTGCATAGCCAGTGGCCTGGGGTACGTATTCGAGAGGCGCTTTTGGGCAATAGAGTCGAGCCAGGCTAACTCGCCCTGCCTCTCTCAGACGGGCCAGCGGGGCGACGCGGCTTTCGAAAGCTATCTCTCCTCAATGGTTCCCCTGCCGCTCAAGAAGGCCGACCGACAGGCCTTGGCTCAGAGCGCACTCAGCCAGCTGCTCGAGCGCACAGGCAGGGCCATTCTGATTGGGGAAGGGTCTGGAGCCACCATGGCGTGGCTGGCAGCAGACGCGAAGCCGGACCTCGTGGCCGGCGTCCTCGCCGTCGAGCCCGCCGGACCGCCGGCCGGGACAGCGTGCACGGTGGGAGCCGACGGGGTGCGGCGCTACACGCCGCACATGAGGCTCGATCCCGCGGTTCGGCAGTACGGCCTGGCCGACATCCCGCTGACCTACGAGCCGCCACTCGAGCCGAAGAGCCCCGGGTCTGCCACGGGGAGCGACGAGACGGGGCTCGACCTGGTGCCCAAGACCCTGTTTGAAGGCGAGGGGACGTGCATTCTGCAGCGCTGCTCGGGCTGCGAAGACGGCGACAAGAAGGCAAAGGCTGGCGAGGACAGGGTTGTTCGGCAGCTCGTGAACCTGCAGAAGATGCCTCACGCCATCCTGACGGGCGAGGCGAGCTCGCACTCGAAATACGACTGGGCGACGGCCGAGTACATGCGCCAGGCGGGCGTGCTTGTGCAGAAGCTGCCGCTGGAGCGATACCACATTGGCGGCAACGGGCACCTGATGTTCCTGGAGAAGAACAGCGAGAACATTGCCGGCCTCATCACCATCTGGATCGACTCGTGTGTCCGGAAGGGCCCGTCGCCGGCGTATCTGCTCCCGCTGTGAGGGACGGCGGAGATTGGGGTGGCTATTCTGCTGTGGTCAGGAACTGGGAGGCGTGGGAGAAACGGACGGGCAGTGGGATTTTGCTGAGCAGCGAAGGATGGAGAAGCATTCAGATGGTGAAGAGTCGCTTCGTAGGTACGAAGTAGAGGTAGACTCAGGAGGTTCAACGTCGGCTGCTGATTGGCCACTTTGACCGCAACGGCCCCGCTTTTGTCTGTGACGAACCCGATGACGTTATCAGATGAGAGATGCGTCTTGCCTCGAGACGGCAACTCTCTCCTACTACAAGGAAAAAGAAGAAGAAGCCACCATGGAAGAAGTGCCCCAGCTCCTCTTGGACCCCGTGCCAGACCTCTTCTCCTACGACGACGACGCCTCGCGGTGGCAGGCCGTGCGAGCGCGCGACGTCTGCGCCGACGGCTTCTTCGTCTATGCCGTCAAGACAACCAAGATCTACTGCCGCCCCATCTGCAAGGCCCGGCTGGCCCGGCGCGCCAACGTGCGCTTCTTCCCGACGGCCCCCGCGGCGCAGGCGGCCGGCTTCCGCGCCTGCAAGCGCTGCAAGCCCGATCTCGCGGGCTTCATGCCCGAGGAGCGCGCCGTGCGGCAGATCCGTGCCTTGGTGGCCTCGCGGGGCGGCGGCGTGACGGGCATGAGCCTGGGCCAGATGGCGACGCGGTCGGGCCTGTCCAAGTGGCATTTCCACCGGGTCTTTAAGAAGAGCGTTGGCCTGACGCCCGGCGAGTTTCTGCGGGCGCAGCGGGGGGGCGACGGGGACACGACGTGGCCGCAGCAGCACTTGGACTTGGGAGGGGACGAGTTTGGTTTCTTTGAGAATCAGCTCGTCGATCTGGGAGGGGCTGTGTCGGGCGAGGCGCCTACAGCGTCCAGGGAGGGCGAGCACAGCCCGTTTTCGCTTGATGACTTGCTGGCTTGGCCGGAAGATGACAATGAGTGAAGAGTAAAGGGCGAGACAGCAACGAGGGCGGCGCTTCCAAATTCGAAAGGGGTCTCTTGATACCCAAGCCAATGGCCTTGGCCTGTTGGGATGAGTAGTTCCACTCCCCCGAGACGACGGCTTCCAAGTACAGACTCGCCCCATGGCTCGACGGGAGAACCGGGATGGAGCATTTCAGGCCCGGCCGACCGACATCCCACCAGGGCACGACACGACGAGGCCTTTAATCCAGATCGAACTCCGTCATGAATCCGGTGTGTCTCCGAGGTGCTTGCCGGGACGAGGTCTTCCCAGCTTTGCAAGATGGCCGAGCTTTGTATCGCATCACCAAGCACAAATGAATTGAGAGAAGGCTCCCGGGGAATCAGCTCATCGGCAACCGAAGAAAGAGCAAGAAACAGCCGCCAAAGTGCGCCAACCCTCCAATGCACCACTTCTCAGACCGAGCTTCACCATCCACACTGCGCTTTTGTGTCTTGTTGATGCTGGACCCGCAGCCCCGACCGGGGTGGGAAAGCAGCTTACGCGCCGATGACTAAAAGACGCACTCCGATTGGCCCGTCACTCCCGCATTGAATCCTCTCCCAGGCATCGCGTCGACTTACACGGCCAGGTTGGGCGTTGGCAGCGAGTCCACCGCCTCTTCCAATTTACCAAGTCGAATTGGACGTGCTGGGATTGGACGGCTGCCGAGGGGGGGAACATCTCGTTGGATCGCCGCTCGGCCCGGGGGGGGGGCATAAAATGGTCCCGTCGTCTCTTACCACGGTACTCATCGAGACGAGTGAGCATCACGGGCTCTTTCATACCATATCCGGCTGCTCTTTTTTCCCTCTTCGCACGCTCTTGAACGAGAAAGACATCAGTGGCCGGTCTTTATAAACGAACCCTGACTCCAACTCATCATCCTTCACACATGATCTTCCACCCCCTCGCTCTGACGTCGACCTGCTGGAACTGCAACACACACGCCCATACACACACACACACACACACACACACACACACACACACATAAACACCATGGCCCTTCCCACAGAGTCCTCGCCGCTCATCCCGGCCGAGCCTGCCACCGCAAGACCCCTGCCCAGTGCCCACGACGCGGCCTCCCTTGCCCAAAAGGCCTCGTCGTCGTCGTCGGCCAGCCAATCCGCCTCCCTCTCCGCCTCGCTCGACCTCGGCGACACCCTGCGCGACGTCATCATCGGCTTCTCCGACGGCCTCACCGTGCCCTTTGCCCTGACGGCCGGCCTGTCGTCGCTCGGCAACTCGCGCCTCGTCATCATGGGCGGCCTCGCAGAGCTCTTCCCCGGCATGATCAGCATGGGGCTCGGCGCCTACCTCGCCGCCGTCACCGAGCGCGACCGCTACCGCTCCGCCCTGCGCCGCGAGCACGACCGCAGCGCCGATGACGCCGAGGCCGGCTCCCCCGCCGCCGCCGACGACGTCTGCGCCATCCTCCTCGACCGCTACGGCGTGTCCCCCCGCGTCGCCCGCCCCCTCGCCGACGAGCTCGCCGCCGACCCGCGCCGCTGCCTGCGCTTCCGGGCCGACTTCGCCCTCGGCATGCAGGAGCCCCACGGCCACGCCGCCTGGCTCTCGGGCCTCACCATGGGCCTGAGCTACCTGCTCGGCGGCCTCATCCCCATGGTGCCCTACTTCCTCATGCCCCGCGTGCTCGACGCCCTCGTCGTCTCCGTCGCCGTCACCGTCGTCACCCTCCTCGCCTTTGGCTACGCAAAGAACTACCTGACCATCCGCAACCACCGCGCCGGCCTCTGGGGCGCCCTCCAGACCCTCGTCATCGGCGTCCTTGCCGCCGGCACCAGCTACGCCATTGTCAAGGCCATCGATGCTGGGGCTTCGGGGCCATGACCCCTACTTCTTCTCACCACTTTTCCTCTGTCCTCGTGTAAATCTGTCTTCGCCGTTTGGTATAGTCGTCCTTGTCGGAAGCGTGGCGTTTGGGGCGGCGGAAAAGATCGAGGCTTGTCCGGGACGATACGGGGGGGTGTGGCGGTCTTGTACTGGTCGGGCTGGCGTCTAGGATCTATAGGGTCACATGAAACAGCGACATCTCTTCTACTACTATCACCATACAGCATCCCTCGGCCTATCCTTGGCTCTGACGAGCCTCTAGGCGCATGGCCTGTGATGAGCAAGCCCAGCAATCGACCACAGATTGGCATCTGGGAAAACGAGCAAGACAAACGCAAAAAGGGCCTTGGTTAGTGTGAATACCCTTCTCCTCCCTGCATACAAAAAGCTTCCACCCCCGCGCCACGTGCGACAAAGCGCCATCGCCCGCGCAAAGTCGGTGGCCGCCGGACCTGCCCGCGCCAGCCGCCGCCTCCCCCCGCCATCCCTCAACGCCTGGGGAACTGCCGCTGTCTCACCTAGGGGATGCAAAAGTCGATCCAGCTGCCAAGGTAGTCGAGCCTGTTGCCCATGTCCTCCTGGTTCTTGTAAATCGTCTCAAACTCCTCAAAGCCAAGCCGTCCCCAGCCGCCTCTCTCGGCCGCCTTGGCCTCGGCCACGTTGAGCAGCTTCCACCGCCGCAGCGTTTCCATGGCTGGCTCGCTGACCGTCGACGAGTCCGACGGATGCTGCCAGTCTTGGTCGCTGACGTCGTCCAGCGTCACGTCTGCCGAGTAAGATCGTCGAGAGCTCGAGCTGTGGTTGGCAGCCGGCCAGCTGTTGGGGCGGAACTGGGGCAGCGTCGGGTCGCGATATTCCCCCAGCTCGTCGTCTCCGGTGACAGACGATTCCGATGGTATCGTAAAGTCGGAGAGGTTGATCGAGTGATGGAGCTCAACCGCATGCCGTGGCTCATCCGTCACAGCCGCGTAGTCATCCTCGGACAGCCCATCTTCCGGGACTTCGTCCGGATCCTCAATGGATTTGCCGTGAACAGCCTCTTCGGAGCGGGGACTCTGATGCCCCTCCTCATCAGGCCTCTTCGCGCCTCGCTCTTTTTCATCGTCAAGCTCGATGGCCTCGATCTCGGCCTTGTGCCTCTCCCGTTGCTCCTTGGTCTCGGCGGCCTCAACTGCCAAGTCCTCTGCCGACTTGAAAATTGTGTCGAGCAGCTCATTGAAGGCTTGCTGCGTCACCTGGTAGAGGATCTCCTTGCCGGCGTCCCGTTCGGCATTGGGTATTTCCATCCCTCCCCAGCGCTCGGGCACGCTGCGCGACGATGTAGACGGGTTAGACCGCGTGTCATAGTCATCTACTTCTCCTGCAAACCGAACCTTGGAGCTTGAACGTGAGCGTGCCGGTGCGGCGGCTTGCTGGTCGGCCGCCTGTGCATCTTCGACTGCCCTGTTGAGTTTCGCGAGGATGTCCTCGTCGTTGTCCCACTCGTCCGGAGCCAAGCCGCCCTCTTCCTCGTCGAGGTAGAATTGACGCCTTTTCCACCTCTCGTGAAGCTGGTTTCGCGCCATGTCTCGGCGCCGCTTCTCCAACTTTGGTGCCTTGCGGCGGGCTTGCGAAAGCATCCTGGCCCGACGCTCGCTGTCTGTTCGCAACGTGCCGGCGGCGGCAGCGGAGTCCCGCTGGGATTGGTCATTACCGTCTTCATGCTCGTCCTCCTGGACATCCTCATCAGCCTGTTCGTCCACTTCGTCGTCGGTCTCCTCCATCTCCGGGTTGTTAGTTCCGGTCAAGATGCCGGGCAGCTCATCCAGAGTGGCGGGCGGTTCCAGGAGAGTAACCCAGTACGTCCGGTCCGTCTCAGAGCCGCTCAGGCGCCGCACCGTGCGCCAGTTGGTGTCCGTGTCTCTCCGGGCAACGAAGCGGCGGCGCGGCCGTTGATAGGTCTCATATGCAAACAGGCTCGTCAAGATGTCTTCGCGGGTCGCCGTGTCCCCGCGATTGTCGACAATGGCGTCGTGATAGCCGTCATCGACGTCGATGCTTCCGTCGCCATGACACGTTTTCCCCTCGAAGCGCATGGTGCCGTCGCCTGGGGGGAGTCTGCCCTCTCTACCAAAGAGGCTGGAGATTGGCAGGCGAGTGCCCACGACGGTCTGGGCCTCGATGGTGGCGCGAAGCTGGTCCTCGAGTCCTTCAAGGATGTCCTTGTGCATCTGCTTGTAGAGTACATAGTAGGCGCGAAACATGCGGAGAAAGTCTCGTCTATTAACGAAACCGTCGCCGTCAATGTCGTAGCCCTCAAAGACTTTGCGCAGCTTGTCCTTGCGCTTGCGGTAGGATAGACCGTGCAGGAATTCGGAGAAGCCAATGAGGCCGTCGTGGTTGGAGTCATAAAAGGAGAACATGCGATCATGGATGAGGTTTGGGGCGGCGTGGCGCGAGCCGCCGGTGGGCACCAGGCAGCGCTCAAACGTCTGTCGGTCCATGGCGACGCCCAGGTCGTCCGGGTCCTCCCTCCACTCGCTGTTTGCCATGAATGTCCACTGCTCCCAAAAGGCCTCGAGCTCGGGCCGCTCAAAGCCCGTGTCTCGCGTCAGCTTGGCAATCAGCCCCTTAGGCAGGTTGCGGCGAATCGAGTCGGGGTCGCCAGTGTACCAGACGGGCTGCATCTGTCTGGGGCCAAAGGGCGGGGCGGGGACCCTGATCTTGTAAAAGATGTGCGTCTTGATGTGGACGCCCTGGGCCTCACACGTCTCGCACAGGTCAAAGTCGGCGCAGTTGGCGCATCGATATCGCACTCCGCGAATGGGCACCATGCCACATGCATTACATTGGCATCCTCGGTGGACACAGCCGGTTCGTCGCGCGTTGTCCTCGGAGACGCGAAAGAGCAGGTTCACAATGTTGTGGCCTGCGCGCTGAGAGGGCGGGAAGCCGGCAGGGTCGTTCCACCACTCTTGGGCCGCGACGTCGGCCACCGTCTCTGCGTCGGCGGCAAGGGGGTTGCTGGCCTCGACATTCTCGTCGCCGGGCGCTTCTGACGAGGAGCTGGAGGTGGGGTTGTTCCTTCGCGATCGGCGCGGCGTTCGTCGGATGGCGTTGCTTCGTTGCAGGCTGCCTCCCGAGGGGCCATCGGGTAGAGGCTGGGCTCGGCGGGACTGGTAGGCCAAGTATCCCACGGAGACGGCGGCCACGGCAGACACAACGGCCACGGCCAGTCGCGGTCGCGTTAGCGCCTCGGTCGAGGGAGTCGACAGCCACATGGCTCCGCCCTCATAGCATCGTCATGGGTGAGGGCGAGCAGAGTTAGCGCCGCAACGGTAGCTTCGACTCGAATAAGCCGACGGTTGGCGGGCTACGCTGGAGAAGGAAGTCGGGCGGTCAGTCTGTCCAACTGGCTAGTCGGTTGGTGATTTTCTCAACCGCGGGTCTAAGAAAGGGGTGATGCGCAGGGCGGAGGCGGCCGAGGGCTTGCAGAAGAGAGCTTGGAAGTAATTTCGTAGTTGACCTTTCGGCATCCTCATCCATGTCTTGCATGTCACCTTAGGTAAGGTCCTACAGGCACAGGCCCGGCTACAGGGTACCTCGGGGTACCTTGGCCGCGGGTGGGGTCTGCACCCGCTTACCGGCAGGCTGCAGCCACCGAAGCTGATTGGTGGGCTGGAGCTGCTCTAGTACCTTGTACCAGAGAGCAGATAATTGAGTCTATGATGTCGTACTTCGTACTTCGTACTTAACCTCAACCTGCTCACGCAACGTCCCCCAGGCCTTCTTCCTTCAACTCCTGCCCCGTCGCAGGCGCCCTTGAAAGCAACAGGTGGGCTGTCCTTCAACATGGCAGACAGGCCGCCGCCCCCGCCGCTGCTCTCCGGCTCCATGCCGTCGTCGTTTGACGGCAACCAGTATGTACGCCGCATATCGAGCTTGCCGCATCCTTTGGCGGCCAACAGTCTTTCCGGACTCAATAGGCTCATGCTGCGCTCAGGGACTTTTATAATGAGCGTCCAATGCAAAAGGTCACCCGCAAACTAAAGGAAGAGCCTCTCGTCCCTCTCGGTGCGAACCCCCATTGGCAAGCTCGTTGTCCCGCCGCTCCCCAGCCGCTCTAACCTCGCCGCCCTTCGGAACTAAACAGGCATATGCCTGACCGTCTTCGCCTTTGTCAACGCCTACCGCGCTCTCCGCCGAGGAGACTCCCAGCAGGCCAACAAAATGTTCCGCGCCCGAGTCGCCGCCCAGGGCTTCACTGTCGTCGCCATGGTGGCCGGCAGCATGTACTACAGCAAAGATCGTGAGAAGACAAAGGAGCTCCAGAAGCTCAAGGAACAGCGCGACGCCGAGGAGAAGCGCATCAAGTGGATTCGCGAGCTCGAGGTCCGGGACGAGGAGGACAAGGCGCTCAAGGCCAGGCTCGAGCAGCGGAGGCAGAAACCACTGCCCAGTTCGAACGCTGAGACGACGCCCGAAGAAACAGCGCGGCCTGGTACGGGGGGTGCTCTCGGCAAGATGGGCTTGTGGCCGCGGGGAGAGAATGGGGCGCAGGAGGAGTCGGCTCCGGTGGACGCCAAAGCCACAGAGGAGACGACGCCCAAGAAGCAGAACCCAAAGAGCTCGCTGGGGGCCATCGGCGAGGTCATTGCCTCGAACAAAAAGGACGAGGGCGGCTCAAAGCCGGCAGCAGAGATCAGACCCGAGAAAAGGGAGCCATAATGGGATTTTGTTCACGACGTTTCGCGACGGGGCCGCCTATGGGAGGGTTGCAATTGCTCAAGGGGAGGGGTACGTGGCAAACGTCTTGTCATGTTGCCCCGGAGACTGTACAAAATCTACTCTGTGTCGTATGCCATGCATTTTCAGTGGCACAACCTCTAACCGTCGTCTTGGTACGATACGCACCGCAGTTCGGAACGTACGGGTAAAGGTAGTCAGGCACAAGAGAAACGCCCTCCTTTCCTCCGGCTTCTCTGAGCCGCATTGAACAAAAAGTCTACACCATGGATCCCCCGCTCCGGTTCGCGCCGCCAATGAGACCAGCCATTTCCAGCAGCGCCCTGTCCGCGTCGATATCCCCAGACCCAAGGTTGATTTTCCGCCGGGCCTCTGCTTCCCTCTCTTCCCAAGCCCACCTCGACGCCTGCGCCCTGGCCTCCTCGTCCCCCCCGCATCCCCAGACCTCGAGTTTCTCGATCTGGAAGCGGTCCTGAAAGTCAAACTTTCTCGTCACACTCGTGTGGAAAGCCCCGCCGCGGGATTTATAGTCGTGATTAAAGACGCCAAACTCGAACGAGTCATTGAGGAGCAGGGACACGGCTCCCAGGGCAAACACGCCGTCTTTGCGATTCGACTGGGTGGGCTTCGGATGTGGACAGCCGAATGACAGGTACGATTGATTGCCGGGGGATTTTGTAAAAGCTACGTAGTCGGTGTTGATGGTCGACGCGGGAAACACATCGTGAATGGGCTCCAGCTGGAAAAGGACGGTTTCCGAATCCCCAAAGCACGCTCTGTGGGTGTGCTTCCAGGGTTCTCGGACGTAGACGCCGTACGTGACCCGGCTGGACTTGGTGCCGTGAGGAAATCTCTTGGAGGGCAGGGATTCGGCAAAGGATGCCTCCTGGCCGCTGTCCGGCACATCACCCAGGCGAGTCCCGCTCACCAAGACAATCGTAGGCGCCCTCCAGTGAAAGACCTTGGACTCGAAACTCCCCATCGAGAAGCCTGCGTCGTTTCCGGAATAGAGCAGCCTGACTCTCCGGAACAGTGAGGAACCGGGCAGGAACATGGAGATTTGCGATAGCACATGGTCGTTGAGGATCTCGCCCTTGTCGGGGAGTAAAGGCTGCGCAGCCTTCTTTGCAACGGGCTGGGCGGTACCCGTTTCGTCCTTGTGTTTCGAAAAGTCTAGATTCTTGGAGAAGAGGAAGTGCTCAAACAGGCCGTTGAAGCCGGTAAACAGGTTGGGGAAGAGGATGGGAATAATGGTCTTGAAGAATCTGTATCTAATCCCCGGGGATGACTCGGCGTCGACAAATGAGGCCAGCATGTTCTCGGCTGTCGATCGCAGCTGCTCGAGGTTATTGTCCGACACGCGGCTCGAGTACTGCGATAGGCTTTCCTGCGGGTCCAAGGGCGCAGCGAGGAGGAGGAGCATCAAGAGCTTCCGAAAGTTATCTGTCGGGATCATGGCGGTGTGAAACTCGGGGGTGGCACCCTGTTTGACTGCTTCCGACACGTCGAGTAGCTCAAATGCTGTGAGAACCAAGTCGTCGTCCTCGTCCTCGTCGTCGGCATAGCCATAGTCGTGAGTGCTGCCGTTAGCTCCGTCGTCGCCGGCCGCATCGATGGCATAGCCCAGGGCGCCCGACGGGCCGGCCGTTTTTGTATTATGCTGATTGGGCGACGTCGAAGCAGGCCGGATCTCGGAGGCTTTGCGGTCGAATACGGCCAGGCCTTTGAAGAAGAGCTTGGTTCTGTCTGCGGAGCCTTTGGCTAGTACACGACGATAGCGCTCCGTCATGATGACAATGACCATGATCATGTGCGGCAGCTCGAGCACAACGGGGGCGTCCTGAAGGAAGGGAAAGGCGCCGAGATACGAGACCATCTGAAAGACGACGGGGGAAGCGCCGAGGATATCCGGGATCTCCAGGTAGCGGGCGATTGTGTCTTCCTTGAGGTATCGCACGGAACCCTGGTGGTCGGCGAGGGTCTTGAAGACATCCTTGAGCGAGTAGTACTCGAGTGAAGTGAAGCACCTGTTCTTGAACCTGTGCGCCTAAAGCAGCAAAGAGGTTAGCGAGCCGTGATCATGGCCAGGCCACCCGAGGCGGCAAGCTCACGAGCTCATGCGTCAGCTCCTCGCGCGACCGCTGGCGCGGCTGCTCGTCTGACAGCGTCTGGCCCATGGAAAGCGGCCAATGCGAGGCTCATGCCTCTGAAGATGCGTTCTTTGCTATGTCCTGACGACAGGCACCGAACGAGGACGGAGGCGAGGCTTGGAGGTGAGATGATGATGGATTGGCGGAAGCCGATGATGATGTACGTGCCAAGTACGTACCCGGGATGCCAGCCAGGGGCCCACATATAATTACACGCACGCTGCTGGCGTCTTGGCGTCTAGAAGCCTGCCGAACAAGGCAAAGCCGATCTCCATTATGTAATGCCCAGGCCGTCGACGATCCTAGCCTTGCTTCTTCTATTGGTGCACTCGGTGCTTCGTCAACTCCTTCGGCATCCTCGCAGGCGGCCGCCGAGCAGAACCAACACCGCACCGAACGTAAAGGAACAAAGAAATCCAACTGCATTACTTCCTACCTGAGCTTGGTTCTGGCAACACCAATATTACCCTTGTAACTTGCAGCTTTTCCTTCTCTCGTCGCCGGAATCGACCTACAGGCACCGCCGCTTCTCCATGCACCCAAAAAATTCAACCGAGTCGAGCACCAGCCTCTTTGCAATCCCTTTACAATCTCCTCGTGTGAGAGCTTCCGGCCCTTGCGTCCTGTCTCCGGTGCCCGCCCGCCTTTGACCCCCTGGGCCCGCCGTCGGTGCGTGTGTGCTGTCCCAGAGTTACACGTTCCAGAACTGAAAACCTGGCACGAGGACCTTGTAAATCCCCTTGATGATTTTCATATTGACCGCGGATCCGGACGGCTTGCTCTCCGTCGAGTTGGACGGAACATCCTCGCCGCAATCCTCGGTGTTTGCCTTGACTGAGCCGGCCTCTTCCTCGTTGGGAACATTTTTTCCCTCTTCCTTCTTCTGGACTGGCTGGGTCACCTCGATGCTCGACGAGTCGTGATTGTCGAGGTCAGCAGATTGTCGCTTTATCTTGAGCATCCAAGCGTTTTTGTTCTTCTCGTCGTCATCGTCATCGTCATCGTCGCCCTCGTGTTCCGGCTTCGGCTCCATGATCCACGACGCTTTGTATGCCTTCTCCTTATCTTCCTCTGTCTCGTTCTTGAGTTCGTATCGCCACGCCATAATTGTCTCTTGAAAAAGCCCTCCTTTAGGCAATGGACAGATTGGATCGCTGTCCTTGACCCATGTTTGAAGGGGCTGGCCGGCTTTCATTTTGTACTCGGACTTGAGCGTCTCGGCCGATCCAGTCGTGTCCTTATCCGGGATTATCTCGTTGATGAGAGGCTTGTCGGTGTCGTGGACCAATCGCGCCACGCCCTGTTCTTCGGTTAGCGTCCGTCTTGTCCTTGTTCCGACGGCAAAGAGTCTTTTCATGGCATACCAGGTGCGCCATGGCAAGTTTCTTCAAGCTCGTGCTGACATCCTGACGCGTCGGGTCCATTTTGTCAAACTTGTCGGCCAGCTTGCGCAAGGCCACGAGCCATGCGCTAACCTTCTCTACGTACTATAATAATCGCTATCAGCCCCTTCTTTCCCCTGACCGAGGGCGGGTGTGTTATTATGACGACCAAGTGGAAACGTACATCGACATAGCACGAGGCGCTGAGCATTTGGTTTGAGAAGGACTCTGTCCGTGACAGCCGAGTTTGCAGTGTCTTCAGATGCCCGCTCCATCTCGTTATCATCCGGGAAGAAAGCTGAATCCTGTCAGCACGACGGGCCGGCTGATAGGCCCATGGACCCGGGAAGCGAGACACTTACCACCGTCGGGCGGGTCTTGTTGTCGGCCGCAGCGGGCATCTTGCTGTGCTGAAGCGACGTCGCATGTCGCGTCAGGCCGCTGGCGATCCATCCCAGGCCTCGAAGAGTGCTGCAAAATCCCCTGTTGTTGATGCGATGCTTCAGGGTGCTGTCGGGCGAAACGTCTTTGAAAGGGTTGAACTCTCGAATCCTCGACCTGACTAGGAGCCCGATCCATTTTTTGTACAAGGCGTCGAGATAGAGCGAGCCTGGCCAGCCAACCGTGTAGCGGGCTGGAACCTTCCAGAAGAACTTTGGTTTCTTGACATTGGCCACTTTGGTCTCGTCAGGGGGGCCCTGGGGAACCTGCTTGTCGGGGCTGACGCGAGGCGGCGAAACGTCTCGCTGGGACAGCCAGTGCGTGCCTGGCTGGTGGTTGACTGCGGGTTTTCGCACGATGGCCCCAGAGGCGAGCGAGGTGAAAAGAAGGAACACGGCGGCTGGCTTCATCTTTGCGGTGTGTCTCGAGTTCTCGATATGGGGAACCAAGGCTCGGCGACCGAAGAGAGATGACGGAGGGAAAGATGAATAAAAGGTCGTGGTACCCCCAGTCCAAGTCTTATATACGAGGCCGGCTTCTCTCCAGAACCCTAATCAGACGCCACTCGCAGAGTTCTGAGGCGTATCCCAGGCTTGATGGCGCAAGCAGCACCATACGCTAAGTCCCAGAAGTAGAGGTTTGGCGGGCGCAAACCTGTTGGTTCTGATAAATGACTTCAGCCATCACAGCGCCATGCCACACAAAATGTGGTGGTGATGGGCTTGCGCCCGGCCCAGGCTGGATCCGATGCTGGGTGCGCTGACGCGTCGACTTAGTACCTTTATGCATTGGAAGCGGGAATTGTTGCCTTCCGGAGTCTGTAAACAGTGGTCGAAGCCATTTTGGAGACTTTTTCCTGCCTTGTGGGCGTCCGAGCTGTACGAGGGCTACGGCCGTCGTGGCTTGACGACCGACGGCCAAGCATTAGCCTTCCCAACACACAATTTGAAGTATGGGCTGATAATTTTGTGCATTGGTGTAATCGACATTGGCCCATCGTGGTACAAGATATGGACTATGAAAAATCCATTGAGGCTTGGAGACAGCCGAGCATAATTCACGTCCCGGAGCACGAGAGGCAGAGGCGAAGACGAGCCAAGAGCATCCCCTTCCGGGCCCTGAAGTACTGCTCAGCATCGCACGAAGTGAACCAAGAACAGAGCAAACGTACGCGGTGTTTCCATGAGAACTTGACCGCTCGCCCCTGGGCCAAGCTCCGTCCAGAAAGCCTCCGCCATCCGGCCATGCACGAAAGCGAAACCAGCCCAGACACCACCACCACACCACGCCATGCTCAGGGCCTCGCTGCTCATCCTCCTCGCCGGGCGCACCCTCACGCTCGGCGCGGCCGCCCCTCGGCAGCCGGGCCACCTGGACCCCATCGACGAGTGGGCGCGGAACCACACCAGCTGGCAGTGGCGCCACGACCCCAAGTACGACAGCATCACCTTTGCGCGCGAGAACCCCCTCTTGCTGCCCCGGGGGAACGCCACGGAGCCGGCCCACGTCGAGGCCCTCGGCGTCCTGCTCGGGGATGTGGTCCGCGCGCTCAAGATGCTGCGGAGGTGTGCCCCTGCCGCGTGCAACCGCTCCGACGAGGCTATTGTGGGCGCCCCTTGCTCGTCCGTCGCAAACCCAGAGGGCGAGGCGGCTCGAGAGACTGACACAAGCATGCCATCCTTTGTAGGCAAAGTGGCAGGCCATGGTGGACAAGCTCCGGTCCGGGGGCGCGCCGTTGCTCAAGTCCGAGTACTTTGATGTATGAGTATATGCCTGCCCCGTCCCCCATCCGACGACACTCACTGAAGAGCTCCAGGCTCTCGAAGCGGTGCGCAAAGCCGCCGTCGCCCTGAGCTCAGGATGTACCATGGAATACCCAGAGACCGACCTCGTCCCGCTGGCCGCCTCCCAACTCCTCCAACACCACGTTGTTAGGCAACCTCCGCGCCAACCCCGTCATCAAACATACTGCAGACTCAGCTGACTCTTTCCGTTTTCCCAGCTCCTGGTCGGACTCTTGTATGATGCTTGCGGCTACGACAGCCTGCCCTCGTACTTGATGGACCGCCCGTGGGAGACCGCTCTCGCCCTGCTCAGCGTCGCCGGCCCTTGATCACCGATGGCGATCCCCTGAGGATCAAGTTATGGGATGGGCGAGCCGAAGCTGTCAAGAGAAAGCCGAAATTATATTGACCGAAACGCTCGAGCCGCACGCTTGCATCGAAACGCGTCTGTGGTCGACTGCCTTGTCATGGCTGAGACATTCCACGGCACCTCCTGGGCTCGTGAAGTGTTCCTCCCAAGAGACAGTCAACCGATTTCGCGCCCAAGCTAGACCACAGCTTGACAAGTTTTTAACAAGTTACACTTTTCGCCCAAACGCTTGGGTCCTTCATGAATAACCCCGAAACTCCCCGTCCATACAGTGTCCTTGCGACTCCAGCCCGTACATGGGGTTATTCATGTCCGCCCAATGGTTTCTGGCAATGACTTGGACGTTTGTTGCGCCCGCTACCCAACGATGAAGAATCATGATGCAGCCTCCGGGTCCTTTTCCGCGACCGATCGAATCAGCCGCTCATATTTCAGCTGGCTCTGCTGCTCCGAGTCCTGCAACTTGGTGATGCTGGGCGCGTCCAACGGCTTTTTTGCCGAGCTAGATGCCCACAAAACACCGGGCTTGGGCGGCTGGACTCTTTCCGGCTCCGATTCAGATTTCGGCGTCGAGCCGTTCTCTTCTTCGGCGTGTAGCATGGTCTGATCGCCATCGCTCTCCGCCCGCGGTAGTCGCATGGCCAGTAAAACGTACTCTGCGCGCGTCATGTTATCCATAACATCGTTCATGTATCGTCGCACTTCCTCCTGCGAAGCAACAACCCTGGCCAGATTCTCCAAGTGGCGTCCGGTGTTGGTGGAGAGGCGAATTGTGACGGGTTGGTAATAGTCCAGAGCTGGATCTCCCCCGTACTCCGACGTGCTTCCCTTGCGAACAATCAAGAATGACGCAATCATCTGCTGTCCACTCTGCGTCGGCAGAAACTCCAGTACGCTGTACTTTGGGAAGATATATCGATCGCCGCTGCCAAAGTCGAATACGACAGCCGAGATGTCTGGCTTCGCCGCAGGTGGGGGTCCCTTGGAGCGGAGAGCCTGCACAGTCTCGTGCTGTGGGGTATTGAAGTTGGCAGTCTTGGCATGGCCGTTGGGCGCCCCGTTGGGCGTCGGCTGCTTGACATGCGACGGTGCAGGAGGCGGGGGTCCTTTGGGAACCGTCTTTGCGTCTCGATGCAGCCTGTCGAGAATTTCCTTGAGATCTCGCGCGTCGGTGAAGCCGGGCCGGCCTTCGGCAATGCGTCGAATCATGTCCTTGGTCCTCTGATCCTCCAGAGCCGTTTTGACGAGCAGGACTACCAGAGGGTCGCTCCGCGGCGGCGGCCGTAGCTCCGTAGACTTCTGGTTCGGGTTGGAGGCGAGAACAATGTCCAGAATCGTGCGTACCTCATCTGCAAAGTACTTGACGGTGCGGCCATCCACGAGCAGCGCATCTGCAGACGGGCCGGGCTGGCTACTTTTCTGCTTGCATTCCACGTTGAGCTGGTCGATAATCTTCTGAAACTGCGCCAACTCTCCCTCTCGAGCCTGTCCCACCGCCACCCTCTTCATCAAGTCGCGCAGCTCCGGGTCGCCCGAGGCTTTCTGGGCTAGCAGCGCAATGACGGGATCATTAGCTGCGGGCTTTGCGGCTGCGGGGGCCGTGGGGCCCGGCGGAGCTGCCGCCGGCCTTTGAGCTGCGGAAGACGGAGCCGGACCGGTGTTCGGAGGATGGGCTCCGGGGGCCGCGAGTGGTGTGGTAGCCGTTTGAGGGGCGACAGCTTGCCGGGGAGGTGGGTTCGATGGTTGCCGGCTCGCCGTCACGGGAGGCGTAGCCGCGGCGGATGCCACGGGAGAAGGTGCCACGGAGGCTCGCGGTGTGACACCAGGGCTGGCATGTGTTGACGTGACCTTGTTGGCAGCCAGAGGGGGAGACGTTGGTTTCAAGGCATCGGCTGGCGAAGCAGCATTTTGACGCCGAGGCGTTGGCGCTGGAGACGGTTGAGATGGGTTCGTCGCTGGACTGGGCGGCGCGGCAGGCTTTGGAGTAGCGGCCGCAGGCATGGACGTGGCTTCTGCTGACGTGCGCGTCGGCGGAGGAGGCATGGAGCCGTTTGGGGGACCGTACTGGAGCACCGGACGAATCGGTGGAGAGGGCAGTGGCTGCTTGGGCTGCTGCGTAGGGGTTTGATGCTGGCCAGCCGGCTGTTGCGCCTGCTGCTGCGGGGGGGGAAGCTTGGAGGCCTTGACGGCGTACATGGTAGCTTCGACGATGTGCGGCTCGATGGTGATGGTGACGGTGCCAACCCTGGTCATGCTGTCCTTTGGGGGGTTCTTGGGGTCTTCGTGCAAGACGCCCTTGCGCTTGTAGGGCTTGGTCCAGTACTTTTCGAAGAGGCCTTCGCTGATCCATTTATGGCGGGACCGGGAGAGGGACTCGGCGAGGACACCGCTGTGGTTAAGGGGAAGAGAGAAACCTGTTCAGCCGCACATGTCCCGTACCGGGGTAATGGGACTGCTTACCTCTCGGAGATGGACTGGTATTCCTTAACAGACAGGTCTCCAGACTGGGCGTCCTCGACCGTGGGCAGGGGCTTTCCGACCTGAATCGACGTGGGCAACGAAGGAGGGGGCGGCGGAGGCGTGGGTTCCCTGACGGGTTGTGCGGGCGTCGGCGTCGACGAATGATCGCGGCTCGCGACGTGTCGCTTCTTGGCAGCTTGCTCGACGCGGGCGGCAGCTCGAGCGGGCAGCTTCCTCTTCTTCTCCATGGCAGCGACGGATATCTTGGCGAGATTCGACTATGCGAGAGCGGGGGGCGGGCAAAGCATCATAAGGGCGCCATGCGGAGCGCACAGGAGCTGTGCGGTGCAGACGAATGACGGGGAGTAATGATTTGCAGGGTCGAGCTGCCGCGCGTGTGAGCAGACTGCCTAGGCAGCCTTGCGGATTGCAGCAACGGGGCGAGCGAGCGATCGAGGCACTGCAGAGTGCACGAGGGATTGGGGTCCACGGCGGGCACCGTATGGCGAGAGGAGGGCAAGGTGGAGGTCGAGAGAGAGAGCGGCGGCCGGTCAAAGGACGCGGGACAAGGTCGAGGTCGAGGTCGTCGAGGATGCGGGCGCGTGATTGGCCGGGCAAATGACGGCGGAGCACAGCTGCTCTGGCTTTGTACAACCGTGAAAAATGGCGGCTTCATTACTCGCCGTGCGAGGCAAGAGGTACTGCGGCTCCAAGCGCCTGTCAGAGTCAGGGGACTTGCAGCGATAAGATAAGATAAGAAAAGGCAGACACGCGGTATCCGTAATACCCCGTCCCCGTACCTTGACGTTGCAGGCATCATCAAACTTGGCCGCCCCGATGCCGGCGACAAGCTGCCCACAAGTCCTTGGGTGCGTTGATGTCGTGACGGTCCGTTCCCATATTGGCGCCGAGGCGACATTGTGGTCAAGAAGGGCGTCCAGACCTGTCCGCTTTGTCTTCTTGCTTTGACATGTAAAATGCCTACATACGCAGGGCGCCAGATGGCGGATGAGCTTCGAGAGGAAGCCTGCAGACTGGTGTCCAGTACGAGAACACAGCACAGCTAACAGGAATGGGATCATTTCCCCGCACAAAGTCCAAACTTGGGCGTGATTCTTCCTGTATGACGCTATGTGTTCAAGCAAGTCAACCAGTCCGTGTACAGGGTAGCCGAGGACCGACCATCTTACCTAATTGCGACAATGTTGGCAACTTCATCCTTGCTCATCTCGTGCTTCACCTCGCTTCCTCCGACCCCTGCCACGAGGCATACACCGGCCCGTCATGGCGCTGCCTCGTCAAGCTGTGCTTCTCTGGACTGGCGCCATTCTTCTTGCTGCTCCCTATGTCCTGTACATCATCATCCTTGGCCTGTTGACGTCTCCCCTTGTCCAGAAACAGTGAGTGGCAGCTGCGTGGACGAGCAGGCGGAGAATCTGACGCGGCCTCGACAGCGCCCTGTATGCACACAAAATAAACAGCCTCCGCTGGGCCGACGTCAACCGGCCCGAGAGATGGGGTTTTGCAAGTTGGTCGACCTAACTGGGCCGGGACTGCGTTCTCTAATGTTGCTACGTCAGGCAACCAAGTCACGCCCTTTACCCTGGCCACGTCCGATGGCGAAAGCGTCTACGCGTGGCACATCACGCCATTGCCTTTGTATCTGAAGAATGAAGCTAGGCTTACGAGCCAAGCACTGGGCCATTCTCCTGACTTTGCAAAGACGGAATCGTTTCGGCTGCTGAAGGGAGACCCGGAAGCCAGGCTGATTCTCTACTGTAAGTCGAAAGAGCTCGCGTCTGATAGTTCCCCGCGCGCGCTGACGGTGGCCAGTTCACGGTGTACGTTATTGAATCCTGCATTCTGCTTAGGGTAGCGAGGAGAGGGAGAAACCCTGCGACGGAAACCGGAGGAAGCTCACAATCAGCAGAACGCGGGACACATTGCGCAAGCCGTCCGGCCAGACACCTACCACGCGCTGACCGACACTTCATCCTATCACCTGGTCGCGATCGACTACCGCGGCTTTGGCCACTCGACGGGCGTTCCCAGCGAGGATGGCCTGATTCAAGACGCCTCGGCGCTCGTCGAATGGGCAATCAACGTGGCGGGTCTCCCGCCCAGTCGCATCGTCCTGATCGGGCACAGCCTCGGCACGGCTGTCGTGAGCGGCGTGGCGGAGAGGTACGCCGTCAAGGGAGTCGAGTTCGCCGGCATCGTCCTGGTTGCCGGCTTCAGCGACCTGGCCTCCCTGCTAAGCGGATACCGCATCGGCGGGCTGATGCCCCTGCTGGGACCATTCGCTTCCTGGCCGGCCTTTGTGCGGCTGCTTGATCGGTTTGTGGTGGAAAAGTGGCACTCGGCGGACCGGCTGGCCAACATTGTTCGCCACACCAAAACGAGACTGCGCCTGAGTCTGGTCCATGCCAAGAACGACGGGGATATACCGTGCACGGAAGACGACAAGCTCTTCCGGGCGGCGGCGAACGAGACGGTCGGCATCGTGGATGATGACAAGTTTGCTGCATGGAAAGAAGAGCGGACGGTGCACAAGGGCAAAGATGCCTTTGTCACGACCTGGACTTCAGACCCGGATATCATCGTGCGACAAGAGCTGTTTCCTTATGGAGGTGAGTGTTACTGTAGCTCCCTGCCGTACCTTTACTAAGCCCCTTGTCCAGCTCATGATCCCATTGTGGGCTACGCTCCGGTTACGCTGGCCGTCATGAGGTCTTTTGACTACCATGGGACCGCGTACGCTTGAAGCTATTCATCCCGCCTGACTTGCCGCCGCCTCCTCCGGCAAAGTCAACAAAGTGCAGCAGAGTTATGCTTGACGATGCGCCACACTAGAGAGAGCTGTATATACTTGTATAGACTTATTTTCGTGCAGCAGCCCGTCTCTTTTCGCACAGGGCCTTTACCATGCTTTGCCGCTTAGCCTAGTCAAGGCAGCCATACTGTAGATGTAATATTTGAAGCCTCGAGGTCTTGGTGGGCCGTTTAGTACGAATCGAGGCAGTGTTGTCCTGTGCCTTGTAAGTTGAGTTTCGGCGTCGCGCAGGCGCCTGCAAGCTTTGACGAAGCCCACGATATACCAAACTTAACTGCGGTCTTTTCATTGGCCCTCGAACATACACGAGCAAAGACATTCATCTGACTGGACGCTTTTTAGTGGACATTTATTATTTATTATAGCTCCGCAACCCCGCAGCACTAACCGCACAGCTAACCTCCGCGGCAACCCCACCAAGCAGCTGCAGACTCTCACCACGACAACTCATCATGCCATCCGAGGAGTCTAAGCCCGTCGATCCCGCGGTCAAGGAGGCCGACGCCAAGCTCAAGGGCAAGCAGGCCGAGATCGACTCCGAACCCGACGAAGGCCACGACCACGACCACGACGAAGAGCAGGATGGAGGAGAAGCCGCCACGACGGCCGACGGCAGCGGCAGCAAGAAGCAGAAGAAGAAGAAGAAGTCGAAGCGTGACAAGGCCAAGGAGCTCCTGACGCGCAAGTCGGGGGACCAGGAGTCGGATATCAAAAAGGCCATCGGCGGGCTCACGCCGCAGCAGATGAAGGAGCTGCTGGCGCTCAACCCCAGCCTGGCCCAGGAGGTGTCGCAAGCCTCCGGCAGCGCGGACCCGACGCCCGAGCAGACGGCCGAGATGCTCAGCAAGATGAACCTGCAGGACATCATGACGGGGCTGGCGTCGACGGGCAAGAACGTCAAGGACATGGGCGCCTACAAGTTCTGGCAGACGCAGCCCGTGCCCCGGTTCGGCGACGAGGACAAGGCCATTGAGGAGGGCCCGCTGAGGATCCAGACGGTCGACGAGGTGGACAAGGAGCCGCAGCCGCTCGTGGCGGGCTTCGAGTGGGTAAAGGTGGATCTCTGCAGCGAAGAGGAGATGAAGGAGGTGTACGAGCTGCTCAACGGCCACTATGTCGAGGACGACGAGGCCATGTTTCGCTTCAACTACTCTCCATCCATTCTCCGATGGTAATGCGCACCCCTGAAAGCCCCTCGGCGCAGTTGCGCACCCAGTCTGCTGCGACTGTGCCAGCGGCGGCTAGTCTTGCGATTGAAAGCTAACAGCGGGAATATCACAGGGCCATGATGGCACCAGGCTGGCAAAAGAAGTATCACATCGGCGTCCGCGCCATCCAGTCCCGCAAACTCGTCGCCTTCATCTCCGCCATCCCCGTCCGCCTCCGCGTCCGGGACAAGACGGTCCTTTGCTCCGAGGTCAACTTCCTCTGCATCCACAAGAAGCTCCGCGGCAAGCGCCTCGCCCCCGTCCTCATCAAGGAGGTAACGCGCGTCAGCAACCTCGACGGTGTCTGGCAGGGGCTCTACACGGCCGGCATCGTCTTACCCAAACCCGTCAGCACGTGCCGGTACTTCCACCGGTCCATCAACTGGCAGAAGCTCAACGACTGCGGCTTCAGCCCCCTGCCGCCCGGGAGCAAGCCCCAGTACCAGATCCGCAAATATGCGCTGCCCGACAACACGTCCACGAGGGGTCTTCGCGAGATGAAGGAAAAGGACATTGACGGCGTCGTCAGCTTGCTGAAGCGATATCTGGCCCGATTCGACATGGCGCCCGAGTTTACGCCCGAGGAGGCGCACCACTGGTTTATTCCCAAGCCTGATGGCGAGCAAGCCATTTGGTCCTACGTCGTCGAGGTAGGGGAAGAGAGACGAGCTCAGATTTCCCGTCCACGCATGTACTGACTGCTAGCCAGGATAACGACAAGAAGATCACCGACTTCTTCTCCTTCTTCTGCGTCGAGTCGTCCGTCATCAACAACTCCAAGCATGACATCCTGCGCGTCGCCTACCTCTTCTACTACGCTTCGGAAAGCGGCCTCGCGCAGCCCTTTGACAAGCCGGCGCTTAAGACGCGCCTCAACAGCCTCATCAACGACGCCCTCATCCTTGCCAAGAAGGCCAGGTTTGACGTCTTCAACGCGCTGACGCTCATGGACAACGCCCTGTTCCTGGAGCAGCAAAAGTTTGGCGCGGGCGACGGGCAGTTGCACTACTACCTCTTCAACTACAGGATGAAGCACATTGCCGGGGGCGTCAACAAGAAGAACCAGCTGGACGAGGACACTTGCAGCGGGATTGGGCTGGTGATGCCTTGATGATGCGCGCAAAGCGTCATGAATCCAGTGATCGAGTATCCTGAGTTTGAAAGGGTGTAGATAGCGTTTGGGAGAGCCTAAACACAGTGTAACCATCTCGCCTTCTGAGAAGCAGACGCTCGACAAAGGAAACGTGAAAAAAAAGGACGAAGAAGATAATACGAAAAGAAGCTATCCCTCCTTCATGACGCTATCATGCCTCTCTCGCCTCTGGAGCTGGGTCCAGGCCTCGAGCCGGTCCTCCAGCAGCTTGTTGAACCACTGCGTCCTCTCCATGACGGGCGCATGGCCCATGCCCTCGACCAGCAGGGCGTCGGCAGGCTCAATGACATCGACGAGGCGCCGGCCGTTCTTGACGGCAATGATGGTGTCCTCGGTGCCGTGCATGACGAGGATGCGCTCGCGACCCACGGCGTCGGCCATGGCGCGCAGCTGCTCGTCCGACTTGCGGTGGCCGCCGGCAGCCATCATCTGACACAGGTAGCCGCGCAGGGTGAAGCTGTAGCCGTTGCGGCGCTTGGCCAGCTCCTGCGCCTGGAAGCGCTGGAAGTTGGAGTCGAAGCGGCGGTACTCGGTGCCGGGCGGGGAGCCGCGGGGCGGACCGCAGCGCGGCGTGGTGGCGGGCGAGGGGAGGACCTCGTCGTCGGGGGCGACGAGCCAGTCGGCGACGAAGATGCGGCGCGTCGTGTCGGCAATGGACTGCTCCTCGGCGTTGGACGCCAGCATGGCCAGGCGCTTGGCCAGCTCGTGGGCCGGCGGCCTCTCGCCGCGCAGCAGGGCCGAGGTGCACAGCAGCGACAGCGACTGGACGCGCTGGGGCACGGCGCAGGCCAGTTCCTGGGCTATCATGCCGCCGAGGGAGATGCCGACGAGGTTGACTTGGCGGGCCGCCGTCCAGCCGACGTGGTCGAGCACCTCGATGACGTCGCGCGCCATCTCGCTCGTCGAGTAGCGCATCAGCGGCTTGTCGCTGGCGCCCATGCCGCGGTTGTCGAGCACGAGCACCGAGTAGCGCTCGCCGCGGTCGTGCCCGAAATAGAGTGTCTGCCGTTGCCACGACGGTATGACGCCCGCCAAGCCCATGATCAACTAGTCGGCGGCCGCGAGGTCAGCCACAAAACCCTATTCCAAATACCCAAGGCCATGGATGGATGGGTGGAGACTCAGGCCGTCTTCCGAGGACAGACATCTCGGAGCAGCACGTCATAGCAAGGAGGCGCACCACAATCTTGATGGGCCCGTCTCCGTGAATCTCCCAGGCAATGTTGATGGGCCCGCCGCGCCCCTTTGCCACGGGCAGCTTGCCATGCTGGTGAGGCTCTAGCGCCCAGACGGCGCCGGGGTAGGCCGGATGCTTGAGAGTCTCGTCGACGGACGGTTCCCGGTATGATCTGGGCATGGGGGGCGTCAGCAGACGGAAACGAAAAGAGGAGAGAGGAAGACCAGGGACGCCAAGGACGGCAGAGAGGGGGAGGTGACGGTGGCAGAGAACAAGAGCCGACTCACCTGCTGGGCATGTTTGCGTCGAGGCCGCCGGCTATTCACACTTGAGCCGAGCGTCTTCGTAGGAAGGACTCGACGTCGTCGTATCCGGACTTATTGGTTGGTATTTCAGTAGCTCCCCAGGCAAGGGCAGCTGTCGGCAAGCATATGGCGGGAGAGGAACAGTTGGCGTCTTCCCCTCTCTCCGCACTCACATGCGACTGCGAGCGAATCAATCGTTTTATATTCACGTTCCCCAATAGCCTTGGCCCGGCGACATGCCATGCGTCTTAGAAATACATTCCCAGTCGTCCGAACATCAAACACGGGCTCGCGCACGGCCCCCATGACCCTGCGCATGGCGGAGAAAAGGAGCTGGGGACTCCGAAGTCCGCGGCAAAGCCATCCGTCATCCCCCCTCGCATGACGCACGCAACCCCCACACTTGGGGAGTCGGTGAGACGAACCAGTCTTGGTTGCTCACCTCTCGCCCGCCTCGCGTCGACGCTGCACCTCGCCCAGGGCCTTTGTTCCGCTGAGGAATGCGGCGGCGCCAACGATGCCAATTGCTGGCAGTGTCTGGAACAGGTTCCAGCTGCTGTAGTACATGAAGAAGACGCATTCCATGGCTACCAAGGACCCGAAAAAGACGGCGTGGGAAATTGGGGCGCTGCCTAGGGCCTTCTGAGCATGGCTCACGTTCGCCCCGAGCAAGAGCCACTACAGAGCGAGTTAGCGCTAATGTTGAGGAACCTGGGGCGTTGCGACCTGGGCCAAATTGACAAGAACGCGCAGCACAAAACGTACACCAACGAAGAGGATTGGCACGGTGGCCACGACAGCCAACGAGAAGACGAGCGAGACAATCTTGGGCGGGTTCTTGGGGTCGTCGCGGAAGACGTGGTGGATCTCAGGCAGCGGACCGTATGGGAAAGGAGCTTCGTAGCTCGGTGCGGGGCCGTTGGGGTCGAGTTTCAGAGAAATGTCGAAGACGCGTGTCACGGAGCCCGCCGTCGACCCGGTCGAGCCTAGGATAAGGCTGGCCTCGAGGGGAGACTTAGAGCGAAGGAGCTGCACGGGGAGGTCTTTCTGGGTCTGTCGTCTCGTCGTTAGCTATCTTCTGTGGCCGAGCAGGGCGAAGCGTTACACACAATCCGGACCGTTCCCTTGCCAGATTCCTTGACGGTCAAGGGAAAGGGAGCCTCAAGGCCCGACGACTCCTTGATGACGAGGAAGGCCTGGTGCGGGCGCTTCGGCTTGGAGCCCTCCTTGGTCGTCAAGGATATCTTGATGGTATCTTGATGTCCCAGCTTGACTGCGTTCTTGACTCTCTCAGTACCCGAAAACCTGCCATTCGTTCCCCAGGTTAGCCTCTGTACAAAAGAACAGGCGGTCGCGCGAGGTTGGAGGGAGCTCACTTGTCGACCACGTCACCGCCAGCCTTGGATGACACGGTGACGGTTGCGTCAGAAAAGGTCCATGACGATGCGGCAGTGGCTGCGCCGGCGAGGGCCAGCAGCGTCGAGACTGTGGGGAAGCGCATTGCGGTCTGCGGCGAGAGGGCGATTGCGGGAGCGAGGCTGAATGAGGACAGCTTTGGCAGCTTGCCGCGATGGTTACGTGGTTGCATTGGGTGAGCAGGCTGATTGGTGGTGGGGGCTAGTGCATACAGTGTCTATAACGCATAGTCACTGTGTAGCGCTCCCTTTACTGTTGCCAGCTGCAGACAGCCGAAAAGCGTCATCTACCTCTATTTAATTCTTCTTGATATAGTACACTGATCTGTAGCCATCAAGTACATGACCCCTGATATCTGCATATTGACGCCGCTTTTCCCGCCCGCTATAAAGGAACATGATGAAGCCAGCCAAAGCACCGCCGGTTCGCCAGAGACGCCTCCCAGAAACTGAGTCGATATGCCATTGCCACGCCGCTGCTCGCTCATCAAGAAACGCCGCGCCTGCCAGTTCGCTTCTTTCCCCTCTCTCCCCCCCTTTCCGCCTCATCCTCTGCCCGGCCCGTCGTCTTGTTCGTGTTCATGTACCCCTCGAGTTTCATCCACTGTGCTGTAAAGGCAGTCACAATCTTAGCCCAGTCTCGAACCGTCGCCAAATCCAAATGCTCGCCGTCATCCTCCATTTTGTGCCAGACTTTGGGAAACGGGGACGGGATGATGTGCAGAATGTTAACGCCACGATGCATAAAGGGGAGGTGATCATCGGAAACTGCTCTCCAGTTCGAGAAGGCTTGCGTCGTCTTGTTAACCTCCGGTAAGAAGTGCGTAGGCGGGTTGCTTTCAAGAAGGCCGAGTTCGCGCATGCGACCTTCTATTATCGACATGCTTCGATAGGCCCAGTGTGTCGTCAAGAAGTACGACGGGACGCTAGGGCCGCTGGAGCCGAGGAGGTCGAGGAGTACGAAAAGGCTGATGGAATCGAGCGGCGATTGGTAGATGGATATGGCAGGGTTGGTACGCGGCTCCCATTCGGCGGCCAACGATCTGGTCCAACCATGTCAGCAGCAAGAAGGGGGTTGAGATGGCAGAGGATTGGGTACCTTGCTCCGTAGAGGGAGTCGGTGTCTGTCCACCTGACGAAAGCCTCCTCGCCATCCAGCAAGATGATCTGGACGCCCTCGGGAATATCCAACTCATCGGCAACTCCGGCGGCCCACTTGGCCTTGAGCGCGTCCTCGATGCTCCTAGCCACGTGAAGCAGTATGGCGCAGGGGGCTGCGCTGTCGGTGGCACCGATGAAGCCCGTGGGTTGCAGCTTGCTGTCAAAGTGGGCGACGAGGGTAAATCTGGACAATTTACCGACCCGCGCGCCAGGCGGATCACGGCGGAAGATGAGGTTGGAGAAGGGCACGTCGGTGTCGCCCGTGGCCGGAGTCTTGGACGTCGAGTTTTGCCAGACGAGCTGCCACTCGGGGAGATTGTTGCTAAAGAAGTCGACAAAGTGTCGCTGGGTGGTGACGGAGCCCTCGGTGCCCGGCACGCGGGGGATCAAGATAGGGGCGAGGAGCTTGCCCGTGAGGATGTTGAAGTCGTCGCCGGGAGGTGGGATGTGCCGCAAGTCGCCATCGTCGAGCAACGTGAGGGCCCTTGTTGAAAAGAGTCCGATCAGTGAAACGAGGGAGCTGCGAAGAAGCATCGTGTCATGCGAGTCGCCGCGATCGAGGAGGCGATGGACATGTCTCGGGCCTGCAGTGTCGAGACGGGGCCCAAACGAGGGCGGTCAGGGGGGAGGCGGCGTCCAGAGTATGAGGTCCTCGCGTGGCCGCAATGTCGCGATTTCCATTAAATTACATGGCGAGTTCTTGAAACAAGGAGACGCTACGCTACGTCTGTACGGCCGGCGAATCGCTAGTCCGAAATCTCCATGTCCATGTACCAAGTACAAGATACATATTCACGGAAACTACCTACCTTAACTTCTGGCAGAGCTGTTAGTCATCCATTTGATGACGAGGAAGCTTTTGTTGCATGCAAATCCATCAGCTTTAGCCACAAACCAGCCTCTACCGAAAGTCCGAAACCATGGGACAGCCGAGCGGGACATTTAATGTGAGAACGGACTAAATGAAGATATATACATCGGATACAGAGGAACAACACGAGCGCAGGTTGAGAACCCCTGACCGGTTGCCAGCGTCAACTCCTGATGCGTGTCAAAAGATGTCTCGTTCAAGTCGTCTTCAACATAGACATCACTGGATCTCACATGCGGGCCAGATTTTGCATACATTTGCCCACCGGTACCTCGTCTTCAAGAGATCCAAGAGCTGTGCCAGGCCTCTCACATACCTACCTCTCCGCTATCGACTCTCGCACCGCAACGCAGACACAATCACGAGACCACAACGTTGCTTGTCCACTCAGGTCAAGGAAGCATCGATTCAAGATTCATCTACTGACTGTGGTTGGCTGGATAAGATTTGAAAGCTGTGGCTTGACATGACCAATGCCGGTTCAGCACTGTCGGGCAGACTTGCAAATAGATAAATCATAATCAAATCAAATCAAATTAAATCAAATTAATCCAAATCAAATCAAATCAAATTGCCCCTGCGCTGAATCAAATCAAATCAAATCGCAACACCCAAATTTATTTGGATATCTGATTATTTGGATACGCCCCACAATGGCGACCTGGGCCAATAGTTTTGGGGAGCCAGCCCTGCCTGGCCTAGAGTGGTCGCTAATTACGGGCAGTTGCTTTTCCAGGCCGTGTCACCAAGCTTTCTTTTTGTGTTTTACCTGACACGTTTGATCGTGAAATATATCTTTGGGTGCATCTGCCATATTACGGGGGGAGATATTTGTAGCCGATGGCCAAAATGGGACAGCTCTGCACTTGACTGCTGCAATGGCGCATATGGGAGGAGTACCGAACCCTCGCGGTCGAGCAAGATACGATACCCGAGGAGCCCACAGCTGCAAGGAAGACAACGGACCTAGATGACTTCATGACCTCAATTAGGAAACTTGGCGCCCAACCTGCGCCCTCACCGTCCTCCATGCGTGACGAGTACGCAGAATGGGTGGGCAGTACCGATCCGGGCGATTGTCTTGTGGACAATCCCATCCAGTACTGGCTTCTCCGCAGACGCCAATATCCACGCCTGTCGCGAATGGCAATCGACCTCTTTTCCATTCCGGCGATGTCTTCAGAGCCGGAGAGAATATTTAGCCTTGCCGGACAGATGGCCGCAGCTCAGAGAGGCCGCCTCAAAGCGGACCTTATCAAAGCGGACCTTAAGGTATAGGAGCGGCTCAATGTATTTTGTCGTGGAAAAAAAGTGGGGCTATCCAGATATCCAAATGAGATCCAAATCGATTCAAATCAAATCAAATCAAATCAGATCCATGATTTTGCTATCCAAATCAAATCAAATTGGACCCCGGATTTGATTTGATTTATCTATTTGCAAGTCTGCTGTCGGGCACCGACGAAATCTGCTCAGCTCCCTCTGTCGCCCAAGTCGCTTCCATCACGTGGTATTCGACAAAGCTCGTTCTCGCATTCCTACAAATTAAGCTTCCCCTTGCTCAACCCAACCGTTGACAATGCCTTCGCCTTCCTTGACGAAAACCATGTGGACGAGAGAATGGGCGGCGGCTGGGGCTGACTCGGCACGCGTGCGTAGAGCCCGGGACGTGAGCTTGGGGTAGTATGTGTCGTCGAGAATGAACTGGCCGATGTTCTGTGACTTTGGCGCATCAGGATAGTACTCTTTGACCGAAAAGTCCCTCTCCTTCTCTCCCTTTGGGTCTCCAGGATATGAGGCCTGAGAGACCCGCCAAGAAACAAAGTCCCAGAGAGCTTCTTTAAGGGGAGAGGCATTGTTGAAGTCGTCAATTCCTTCCGTCCAGTGTTTTTTCCAGAACTCATCCTCTCCCCTTATACTTTTAAAAAAAGCTATATTTATTAGTTTTATAGATAAAGACCTACTTATAGCTAAGGACTTTTTCTCCTTTTACCTTTTTCTTAAGGACTTATTTAAAAGACCTTATCTCTTTATATAAGGCAAGGTAGTTTTTCTAGGCCTAGAAAAACTAGTCTTTAAAAGGGTGTTTTTTTAGCTATTTTTAGTTTACTAGTAGGTCTAAGAGGTCTCTTTTATATATCTTCCTAGCTAATAAAGGCTTATAAAGCTAGCTTATTATAAATACTTTATAAGAACTATCTTTTAAAAGCGTTAGATAAAAGTTAGAAAAACAATTAAAATAAAATAAAAATTCTTTAATAACTATATTAGGCCCTATATAATCCTTAACTTCTTAAAGTAAGGATAAAAAGGTAGCTAAGTAATCCTTTAAAAAAGGTACCTTTCCTACCCCTTTAAAGGTTAAGATAAGAAGACTAACTAAAAAAGCTACTTTTAGATCTTTTTCTTATATAAGAGGAGGCGTAGGGAGGTAGGCGTATTCTAGCTCTACTACTTTCTTATAGTCTCTTTCTTTATCTAGATTATTTAATTTAATAGAATCCTCTTTTTTTTTAAAGTTAGCGTTATCCTTAATTACTTTAACGTTTATTTCTTTTTTTCTTTTTATATCTTAGACCTCTTTTTAAGACTATTAAGAAGGGGGGATTTAGATCTTTTAAATAAGCTAACGTTAAGAGAGTAAGAGGGGCTATTAATCCCTCTTTCTATTAAAGAAGCTAGATTTATTAAAATTTATATCCTTAATTAAAATAACCTTTTATAAAAAAGGAATCTAGATCTAAAAGATATTTATAGAATTATAACTAGTAAGGTAACTAATAAAAGCTCTAGGATTAAGCTTTCTTTTCTTCTTTCTTTTTAGCTATATATTAGTTATTATAATATATACCTTATAGCTATAGGTATAAAGGTAGACTAGTAAGGCCTTCCTTTTTAAAAAGAGCTTAAGGGGAGATTTCTAGTTTATTCCTTAGGTCTTAAAAAAGGTCTTTAGGTCCCTATAGTCCCTTAGGCTCCTAGGGTCCCTTAGGGTCTAGTTTTAAAGGTAATAAGCGGTCTTAATAACTTCCCTCTTAAGGTTATAAGGAAGCCTTATAGTAAGTCTTATTATATAGGCCCTTTTTATTATAGCACCCCTTAATCTTTCTACCCCTCCGTTCTAGGCCTAGGTATTTAGTACTAATAAGAGGGGTAAAATACCCCTTTTTAAAGCTAATTTAAGATATCCTTTATAAATAGCTATCTATTAAACTATATCTTCTTTACCTTATAGCTTAAGTAGGATTTTATTTAGTTTATAAAGTCTTAGAGGGTAAACTAGTTATACTTACTTAAGTAGGTCTATAAGAAATAAGGAAAAACTATCCTTAAAACGCTATCTATAAAAAGCATTATATTAATAAAGCTTTCTTAGTCCTTAGAATTATTTATTTAGTTTACTTAAATTTCCTTATATAGCTAGTCTAGCTATAAAAGGGATCGTTTAGAAATTTATCTCTTAGTCTTTCCTTAGCTAAAGTATTTATTTTTAATGGTTTTTAGGCCCTTTATTTATACGCCTTATTATTAGCCTAGCTTATATAAAGCTAGGGGGCCTAGGTAACTAAGTTATACTTATTAAAAAAGGCCGTCTCTTTATATTACTAAAAGAAGGTCTTTAAAACCTACCTTCTTAGTAAGGAAAGCTAACTTCTTAAGAGGTTCTTTTTTAAGGATAGGTTAAAACTTAAGAATAAATTAACTAAGTTTCTCCTTAATAAGCTTAATCGTTTAATTCTTTTAAACTAGCCTTATAAGGTTAAACGTTATATCTTAAAAGATTCCTTTCTTTTAAAGAAGTTAAAAGGAAATTAAGCTTATTAAAAATTAAGGGTAAAAAGCTACCTTTTTTTATTAAAGAGTTTATATAGACCTATTAAGTACTTTTATCGTAAAATTTATACTTCTATACCCTTTTATTTATATTATTTATTCCTTAGTAATAAGGTATTCCCTTTATACTTTTTTAAACGATTAAAATTATAAGAGTATATTATAGATATTAAGGGAAGTACTAGAGTTTAAGATAGCTAATTTTTATAAGGGATAATTAAAGGGCTTTAATAGTTAGCCTTAGCCTTATTAATTTAAAGGAAAGATAAAGGCTAAATTTAATATACTAACGATTTTTACTTAGATTTATAGCTTAAATAAAGGTAGTAGTATTATTAGTTACTATTTCCTAGTAACCTAAATCTCGTCTATCTTCTTTTATAATAAGGGGTCCTTTTTAAGAGACTATTATATTATTTTTTATAGCCTCTTTAAAGGGTTAAATCCTTTAGGTTAGTTTTTATTAAAGACTTATTAGTATTATAATAACTAATCGTATAAAGATTTATAGGCTAGGCAGCTATTTTATTTAGTCTTCTACTTCTTTAAGGAATCCTTATTTTTATTTAAAAGGTTTACTTAAAACCCCTTTACTTTTACCCTATATTACTAATTTTAATAAAAAGGTTTAACTTTAATAAGTTCTTTTATTTTTCGACTAATAAACTAAAAGGTCTATTAAGGGACTAGTTAGGCTAGACGGACTAATATAACTAGGCCTAAAGTAGTAAGCGGAGCTAGGGCTAAGACTAAGGCAGCTATTAAAGAAGGTTAATACTCTTAAGTAAGGAGAAGCTAAAAAGGTAGTAGTAGTAATAGTAAAGGGGGC